AAATAATGAAATGGGAAATATATGAATAAATTAGGTTTTAAGTTGATACCTATTTTGGGCACTTTTGACTTGGTTGAGGGATAATTGCCTGCTGCTTGGGCGTAGGAATCCCGGTATGCCTCAAGGGTAGTTTTGTCTTCTTTTGTCAAAAATCCACGTGTTGCCTTGTGATTGTTTTTGGCTCCACAACCTTGTCTGGGGCACACTACCCTTGTCCAAGATATTACAATCCTTCTTTGATTCATGTTTTAGTTTAGGCATGTTGATTTAATGTCAATCCTTTCGTTGCTCCACCGTATCACAAGATTAAACTTGCTTCAAAGACACCAAATCCAAGCAATACTCAACCTTTGTTGCATTAACCACCTTTGTCAACATGTAAGCTACATTATCCTCTGTAGCAACCTTCTTGAGATGAATCTCACGTTCAGCTATCACTTCTCTCACAAAATGATATCGTACGTCAATGTGCTTAGTCCTAGTATGATGTACTTGATATGCAAAGTAAATGGCCCTTTAGCTGTCACAATATACATCCAACTTATGTTGTTCCACACCTAAGTCTCATAACAACCCTAAAGTCCAAATTGTTTCTCTGATAGCTTTAACGATTGCCATGTATTCTACTTATATGTTTGATAGCGCCACCATTGGTTGTAGTCTTGTAGTATTGATCTCCAACATATAAGACCCTTTGCCATAGTAAACACATACCTTGTTGTTGATCTTTTCTTGTCTAAATCACCTGGAAAATCTGAGTCCACATATACAACTGAGAACTTATCAATTCCTTCATCACTTCTTTAAAAAACAAATACCTATATCCCTCGTTCCATGTAAATACCTTAGTATCCACTTACCAGCATTCCAATGCTCTCTTCTAGGATTATGCATGAACCTACTAACAATTCCAATTGCGTGTGCAATATCAGGACGAGTACACAGTATCACATACATTAATATTCCAACCAAATTAGCATATGGAACACCTTCTATCTTCATCTTTTCTTCATCAATTTTGGGACATTGTTGACTACTCAACTTGAAGTGAGCACCCAATGGAATTTCCTCAGACTTACTGTCTTTTGTTACTCTAAACTTTTGAAACAACTTCTTAAGATATTGCTACTGAGACAAACACACCAAACCTTTATGTTTATCCCTTATGATCTCTATTCCCAATATTTTCTTCGCTTCACTGAGATCCTTTATTTCGAACTCCCTTTTCATTTGTTCCTTTAAATTTTCTAGCTCTAAAATATTGCTTAAGACTACGAGCATGTTGTCTACATAGATTAAGTACACAAACGAACCATCTTTCAACTTCTTATGATAAACACAGTGATCATATTGACTTCTTGTATAGTTTTGACCCTTCATAAACTTGTCAAATCTTAAATACCACTGCTTGGGTGACTGCTTCAAACCATAAAGAGATTTTATGAGCTTACAAACCAAACTTTATTTGCCTTTCTCTTGGTACCCCTCAAATTGTCTCATATAAATCTCTTCATCCAAATTACCAAGAAGGAATGCAATCTTCACGTCTAGTTGTAGCAATTCAAGGTTGAATTGTGCAACTAAGGCAAGCAATATTTGAATGGAGGAGTGCTTAACCACAGGAGAAAAGCTCTCATTGCAATCTATTCCCTTCTTTTGAGCATATCATTTATCAACTAGCCTAGCTTTAAACCTTACTAAGATCTTGTCATCCACTTCATCCTTCTTTGCATAAACCCATTTGCAGCCAATTACTTTCCTTCCTCTAGGCAGCTCCATCAATTCCCAAGTCTTATTCGTGTGAAAGGATAGCATCTATCATTCCATTTACTCTCTTCTTCACTATTTGCTTCTACTTCAAAACTAGTGGGAATTTCAACCTCTATTACTGGGAATGCATATACCATGCAGGCAATGTCATCCTTGTATCTCGCAGATAAGGATAATTCTCTTTTTCCCTTCCTTTTGGCTAATGCAATCATCTTGCATCTTGAATTCTTCTCGTGGTGTTTTCCTCTTCGTGCTCACTCTCTTCATGTTCAAGTTGATCACCATGTCTTTCTTTTTCCACAACTTCCTCACTTGGCTATGAATTCACGATTACTTGTTCCCCAAGCTCCACCATCTGAACATCTTCCTTTAATTTTATATGACTTTCATCGAATGTCACATCTCTACTCACTATAATCTTGTTCAGCTTGGGACACTAAAGTCAATAACCTTTCACACCACTATTGAATCCCATAAACACAACTCTCTTGGCTTGTGGATCCAGTTTGTTTTCCTTCACATGAAAGTAAGCATTGTATCCAAACACTCATAGCTTGTCGTAGTCCTGAGTTAGTTCTCCATACTACACTTTAATGAATGTTCTTCCCTCCAATGTTGCTAATGGTAGACGATTAAGCACATGACATGCATAGCTCAAAGCTTCTGTCCAAAATCTCTTTGGTAGCTTTGCTTGAGATAGCATGCAACAAACTTTCTCAATTTAGTCTTTCTACAATCCCATTCTGTTGTGGAATATGTTTAACAATGAAATGTCGAGGAAATCTCTTAAATTTTACACACCTTAAAGAAAGGATCAGAGGTATATTTCCCTATATTGTCAATTCTCAATGTCTTAGTCTTCTTTCCAGTCTTGTTCTCCACCATGTTCTTCGATTCCAAGAAGATGTCAAAGACTTCATCCTTTCGTTTCATCATATATACATCCATGATCTGCGAGAGTAATCATTGATAAAAGATACAAACCATCTCTTTCCACCTAAAGAATCATTCTTTGCAAGCCCCCAAACATCAGAGTGAACATAGTCCAAAATTCCTTTCGTTTGATTAATTGCTAAGCCATATTTCACCTTTGTTTGTTTGCCAAGAACACAGTGCTCACAAAACTCTATCTTTCCAATCTTTTCCTTTTAAGCACACTTGCTTGATCAATCCTTGCAATGTTTTTTCTCCTACATGTCCCAACCTTATGTGCCATAATATAGACAAGTCACCTTTATCACTTTGCACTTTATCAGCTACCAAAGCCACTCCATTCTCCAAAGTCTTTCCTTGTAGCATATAAAGAAAACCATTTCGAGACCCTTTCATTATGACAAGTGCTTCTTTAGAAACTTTGAGCACGTTGTTATCAGAGTACAACTTGTAGCCTTGTGACTCGAGAGTGCTTAGTGAGATCAAATTTTTCTTTAGATTTAGGACATACCTTACCATGCAATTCTTGAATTACACCACCACGATGCTTGATCCTGATGCTTCCAACTCCTTAAGTTGTACATCCATGTACACAGTTCCATTCATAACTTTGAAGCTTGAAAACCAATGCCTTTGAGAAGTCATGTGATGAGTACAACCTGTGTCGAGTACCCACTTGTTCATATAATCCACAATACTCGATGTAGTTAGGGCATAGATAAATTTCTCATCCTCGACTTCAACCGTATTTGCTTCTTAATCATCTTTCTTCTTTCCTTTAGTGTTTTCATTGATCTTAGGGTAGTCCTTCTTCCAGTGTCCTTTCTCATGAAAAAAGGCACACTCATCCTTGTCTAGAACTTCCTATTCTTCAAGACTCCTCTAGTACAAGACCAACTGTTTTTCATGTCCAAGCCTTTCGTTTTTTTGGATCTCCCTCTCACCATCAAAGCTTCAGAGTCATTCCTTTCTTGCCCGTCAAGATGTCTAACCTCATGATTCATAAGAGCATTTGAGATTTCATCGTACTTAATTATTTCCCTAACATAAATCCAAGTAGTAACAAAGGGCTCATAGGATTTAGGCAATGAGTTCATCAGGATCAAAACCTTGTCTTGATCCTTGATTATCTATCTCTTCAAGATTTGCCAATTCAACTAGAAGCTTGTTAAACTCTTCTAGATGGTCGATCATCTTCGTGCCCTCTCTGTACTAGAACTTGTACAACTTGCTCTTGAGATGCAGTCGATTCTCTGCACTCTTCTTCATATATTTTGTCTCCAATGCAGCCTACAATTCCTTCACAGAAGTTATGTTCATCACACCATACTTCTGTTGCTTTCCCAAGCATTGTCGAATTGTAGAACATGCATGAGCATTTAATCTTTCCCATTCTTCTTTCTTCATTAACAATGACATATCTCCTAACACAACAACCAAACCTTGTTGTACTAGGACATCTCGAACCTCACACTGTCACATGGCAAAGTTGTTCGTTCCATCAAATTTCTCAATTTCAAACCTAGCACTCTGAACTGTCATCTTGGTACCACTAGTACCAAACTTTTCTTCAACATCATCACCACTGGTGGAATCACCAGTCTTCGTCATTGCTTGGTAGTTACAACCCACATAAGAACCTAAGCTCTAGATACCATTTGTTGTGAACTAGACCAAAAACAATCAAGCAATAAACAAAACACAAAACAATTTCAGAGTTCATGCAATATAGGAGTACCTCTATAACAATGGAAGCTTTATTGGTAACCGACAAATACAAGAGAACTCACAAACACAAAGTGTTCTCTCGTACATAAACTAATGTCTCTCAAACTCTCCTCTTCTAAACCCCATCCCACAACCATCTATTTATACTAATAGATGTCGTGGGTTTTACACAAAGTCCCTAGAATACAGGAAACCAAATCATATACTAAAACCGAATCTCAACCAAGCTAAGAAACATATATAGTGATATCTCACATACTAGATATCCCAATCCTTCTTTGATTCTTGTTTTAGTTTAGGCATATGTTGATTTAATGCTAAATCCAACTATGCACATCTCAGTTTTACATTAATTTGAACTCTTATGTATCTGCTTCACCTGGGTTGTCGCTTTTTATTGCATTTTGCAGCCATTAATGTCTTTCCATTCCTTGTTTGTGCCGTTTTACCCGTTTCATTTTATACGATAATTTATCCTGAAGAAAACTAGGAACTGCTTATCATGTAGTTGCTAATTTTACATCCTCTGCCACCCCCAAAATTGACATGCGCATGCTTTGAAACAAAGATTTAATTCAAGATTATCAAATGCATTAAACAAAAGAGGGTAAAAAGGACCCTGTACATACAACGAATACATTTACAAGTGTAAAAAATCTATGAACTCCAATTTCAGGCTACCATGGATTTCCTCCTCTTCTGATAGCTTGACCCTTACGTCAGCAATATTTTAGCGTGATACGCCTGCCATTTTTATTATTATTTTTTTTTTTTTTTTTTTTTTTTGGACAAACGGTGGTGTTAATAGTTTGTTGTTAGAGGGAGAGAAATAGGTGGGGATGGAACTCGAACCACAGCGTATAGGTGTGGTTTGCCTACTATGACAAGTAGAGATATCGTAGAAATTACAGTTCTGCGTCACTGTCACTGTCATCAAGCATATTTGATTCTGTCTCACTTTCACCGTCATCGAACATAGTTAATCCTGCCTCACTCTCACCGTCATCAGGGATAGTTCCCCCCACAGGCGAGTCTTCATCATCACTCATTTCGGAATTATACACATCTTCACTCAAGACACCAGATTCAAATCCTTGGCGCCTTACAACTATAGTCTTGACCCTCTTCTCAAAATCTTCATCCGTGCAGGCCAGCATGTAGCGTAGTTTTAAATTAATACAATTCTCTGTCAGAACCTTGTGCCTCGGAATAATTCGGCCCTCGAGGGAGTAACTGAAAAACCTGGACAAGATCTCATTACGGTCAACGTCAATAGTAGAGAAGGAACACGAGAAATTATTACAAAAAGTTAATAGCAAGGTGAAAAGAAAAGCTTAAATTTGAATTCCAAAAGCTTGATGCTTTCACCTTGGAAACTCAATGAGGGCTTTCATAGGGCGAACCATAGTTCTCCTCAAGTAACGGTACTTTGGACGGAGAACATCTATATTGTATCGCAGCAGCATGGGAAAATCAGCAATCATCTCACCTAAAACTCCATGATGTATGCCAAGTGATCGAAAATATTTCACATTAACCTCGAGCTTTTTCACAATGTTGCATCCTAAGAGCTCTGGTCCCAAAGCTATAACCTTTCCAATATCTCTCTCACTAACTCCAGCTTTGGTCATCAAGAATATGACCTGTATAATATTCCAGTAACATGTTACTCTTTTAATTAAAAACTGAACCTGGATATTAAGGGCCCGTTCGATAACCGCTTCGTTTTTAGTTGATATTTTTGTTGGGATTAGTGAGGAAATAAAAGAGAGAAAAGAGGGATGAGCAAAGGTGGAGGAAAGGTGGGGCAAAGGACGTGAACTGTACATAGAAGTTTACACAAAGTGCAAACTAAAACTAAACCATTTTTTGTAGGTTTTCTTTTCTGGTTTTTTTTGTTTCCTACCTTCTAATTTCTTTCTTCCTCCACCTTTATCCACCCTACTTCGCTCCTCTTTCTCCATATACATTCCCTCTATCTTTTAAGAAAAATGAAAAGCAAAAACTAAAATGAAGGCTATCAAACGGGCCATAAATATTTATCATGAACCAACATAAAGTAAAAGTCCAACCAGTGTAATCAGTTTCAACATGGAGCACTGAGATATACTTTGAAAAGTTACCACACCAAATAAGATTCAAATCACACATCTTTCAAGCATATATCAGTAATAATCATAAGTTTCTCCTACCAAATGTGGTTGAATGGGTCCTGTCAAAACCTTTAAAAACAAAACGAGAGCCTTAAGTCCTTCTCATCACAGCTATCTGATTTATTGATACTAACTGTTTCATGAATACTATCTGTAACAATCTCCAGGCTTTTCTCAAGTACACCAAAGCCGATGAAGCAATTGAACAATTAGCAGTTTCTGACAAACAAAACTAATATAACTGTGAATTTAGTTACCGTGCCTATATATTAAGCTCAGAATTTAGGTTGATCCATTCAATCCCATGACCTGATTTTAATTTATTATTTTTATGGCTTCGAAGTTAACCCATGCACCTAATAGAATGGAACCTGAATCCACCCTCACTTTAACCAGCTTACTACAACAAGAAGGACAAGTTTCCGTGCTAAACTATTAGAAATCAACTGATTGATTTTTCTGATACAGAAAGATATATTATTGTGTGCATGCATGTGCACATATGGTGTGTGTTCAAGAGCCATTAATACAAATAAATTACCACATAAACTCAAAGGAATGATAGGAAACAGCAACAGAACTTGAATGAGAAAAGAACGAACCACTGGCCGAATTTTCTTGTAGAGGCTGTATGTTAGCAAGGGAGGAAACTTAACAAGCATTTTGCCTATGGCATCATCTCGAATGCCTATGTCCTGAAAAAACTTTACCTGCATGTAGGAAAATAAACGTCAAGATCATCAAATGTGTGGTTTGCCTATTTACTACTTAGCATTAACCTATTATGCATAGAGTTCATAAACAATTGACAGAACTATATAGTAGTCAAGGAACATGGATTCCTAAAACAGGATCCGGTGGAAGGTAAAGAAATGTAAAGAAGAATTCAGCTAGATTAGATAGTTTCAGGTTAGTTTCATGATATATAGGCATCAACAACAAAGTTCAAGCGCAAGAAGTGTGGCATACCTTTGGCACAATGGTTTTCCCATAATCAACACAGAAAATTATTGGTTTAATGGTAAGCATTCTCCTCATACCATCACGGGTTATGCCATGGTAATACAAATACTTAACTAGAGGCTTCCATCTTTCCTCAATGCTACAACCCATCAGGTGTGGCCTAAATGCTAGCAATTTGCCAACGTCCTCAGTACTAAGACCAAACTCCTTCAAATAGTTAACCTGGATAAACAAGAGCAGCATCTCACTACATGTATATGCAAATCAGTAAGCTCAGTTTTTATTTTATTTTATTTCTGTATATATATATCAATACACCCAAACCATGAAACTGGTATGCAATTTACTCCACATTCTTCTGACACAAACCCTAAAGCCCATGTCAGTCATGTCATGATACTTTGGAATAGTATGATACTATACGAGTTCAATTTTCAATCAATCAATGATCAGCAGAAGGAGTCGGCTACCTTTTGGTTCATCTCAACAAGAGTATAGTAGCCAAGTACCCTGGGAAAATCAAAGACCATTGTGCCAAAATCCTTTTCATTGATACCCATTTCAAAGTAAAACCCCGCACGAGCTTTCACTTCTTCTAAACTGTAGGACAAGAGTTGCGGGCATCGGCTCATGACACAACCCATCCAATCCCTCTTAACTCCATTGCTCTCCAAATACTCAACAATCTCATCCAACTCTTCATTGCTGCGCTCCAGAAAATGATCTCCAGCTTTCACAAGCGCAACCCCAATAAACCTCCCCTTAACATGAATGGACTTCAACCACACCGCAAGACGTCTAATCGAGCCAATGTCTCCCTTTGACAAGCATATGAGCTTCCCAATTTGGGGATATGAAAGTGAGTTATGCTTCAACCACCTATACAATCCAATTCCGTTAACCAAATTGTGGACAAATAAATCCCTTTAAATCCAGAAATTTCAATCTCTTTGTTTCTTACTAACTAATAGCTCATGGAAATTGAAAACTCCAAAGGAAAAGAGTAAAGCTTTTGATAATACCTAATGCAGGGCACAACTTCGGAGTCTTCAATGACAATTTTGGCGCGAAAATTGAAGGTGGAATCTGAGAACTCCGGCGAGCGTTTCATGGCTGCTGCTTCGACCATGACGTAGTCAAGGAAGTCGGTCAAGGTCTCGGTCAGATTGGTGGCATATGTGATTCCAAATTTGCCCTTGGTCCTCATAACCTCCTTTAAAATCTCTGCCGTGACCTTCCGGCGAATCTCCAGAGCCCGCATTATCATCCGGTGCTCGTCGTCGTCGTCACAAAAGGAATCGTGGGAGGATGAGTCGAGGGAGATGGAGCCAGGGAACTGAGGAGTACGTTTGCGGAGGAGGGAGCGTTCCAGGAGCTTGGATTTGTCGTCGGGAGGGGGAGGAGGAGAGGGATGGTGAGAGTTAGGGTTAGGGTTGGGAAAGTGGGAGAGGCGTTGGAGGAGGAGGGCGGTGGATTTGGAGTTGTGTTTGCGGATAGTGAGGTCTGGGGGGTCATGATTGTGGTCGGGGTGTGAGGAGGCGGCCGCGGAGGGGAAAGCTTTCGGGAGGTGGAGGTGGAGGTGAGATTGGTGATGGTGGAAGGGAAGTGGAGTAGTCAGTTGAGTGAGTGGAGAAGAAACCGCCATTTTTGCTGCACCACAGCATCCCATGTGGATTATAGGATATGCATCTGGACCGATGCCGGGGTGGGCATGAAAAGTCAATGAGTCAAAAATCGAACCGGACTGTTCAAAACGGTTTTGGTTTCGGTTTCGAATGAACAAGAATGGGCAGGAACCAAACCGAACCATTTGATTAATAATAAATAAATAAATTATATATATACACATGTAATGGTATAATAGGTTGAAAAATTAGTTTTACCAAGTTGCAAAGTAGTGGATCATATCTCAATTATGACTCACTCACTTCACCCTCACCTCACTCACACGGCCTCACCCCTCACATCCCCATTCCCCTATTTCACACAGCCGACCCTCACTCATGGCCTCTCATCCAAAAATATCAGCGATTCCTCAGGCAGCCCACAACCTCAATCCTCTGCGACAACCCTCATCCTCCCTCATTTATGACAACTCACGACTCTTCGTCCTCCGTCCTGCCTCCTTAGTATTTTCTCTATCTTTTCTCATATTTGAGATTAGGAATATAGTTGAGTTCCACTAGTTTTCCATTCTTTTTTACTTGCACTATATATGTGTGATTAACATTGTTTAATTGAGTCATATGACTCCTATCTTGCAGATGGGTTCCTTGTCGGTGTCATGAGTAAAGGTACATAACATGATTTGTTCCCCTTTTTTTGTTCCATATAAGTTAGATCCTTCTCTTAGTTTGACATAAGAGTTCGGGCACTGGCACTGTCTTCAACAAAACCTATTTTTTTTTCCTTTTCTATTTTTTAATTTGATTTGAGGGTTAATTTGTAGTTTTTTTTTTTTAATAAATATTTTGTACTTTGTCAATAGACTTGCAAGCCAACTCTTAATTCTTAATTCATCACAGAATCCTTGTGGAATGAAGGACATTTACCTAGATCAGTGAAGGTAGAAGATTGGGATAGGGATAGAGATCGTGAAAGGGATGATGGGGTTAAAGATAAACAAGAGATGGCATGTGTTTGACATTTACTTGATATTGCCATCCTGATTCTAAGACCAACAACCCCAAAACGAATTATCTAATAGTATTTTTATGGTTTCCTCCTTACTTGGTATGTATATTCCTTTTTGCATCGTTATTGTTATGTCTTTGTAAAGCAATCTCTGGTCACTCATGACTTATTTAGTTGCATTTGCAATAAGTCTTATATGAAGGAAGCTTCTATTATGTTGCAAAAGATAGCAGTTGTACAAATTTGTACTCAAAATTGGTTGATTGAAATAACATCTCAATTTTAGACGACAAGACAATATTGGAAGATATAGAGTTTTATGAAGCACTTGAAACATGTATGAATATTTATTTTTCATTACTTTGTTTTTGTTTTTTTCTCTTGTTTTGTTGCATGCTTGCTTTCTTATTTTTTAATGAGTTCTGATTTTTATATGTTCTAGAAAAAAGGAATGGTGGCACATCTAACAGTGGAGATTCATAAACTATTTAGTCCTAACTTATCACCTTTTACTAGTGATAGTATGTATATGTAACTTTAATTTTTTAGCACCTTCCTTACTAATTTGAGCTGTAAGATATATAATTTTGAATTCAACGAATAAGAAATATATAATTAATTGATACATGAAGGAGATCATATGGGATAGTTAAATTGTTTGAGATCATGTTTTGTATAGCTAGTATAATGAATACAAATTACATGGTGCTCAAAACTTTGTCGACCAATTGCTCTTAGCACAGGATTGTAAGTACTATACCTATAAATGTTTGGTGTTTTTAGTTTAATTTATGTTAAGGATACTTAAAAAATCACATCATGTAGCCTTACTAGTCCTCACTCTAAAGAATAGCTAGGTTATGAGACTCAGGCATGACTTTAAGATTACTGCTAAATCCCTATTCTCAAACTCCGTAACTTATTATCCTCAAGATACATTCTTATGTTTATGTAAATTTGGTGACCTCAACCTTTTAAAACTGGGGAAGCCCATGCTTGCAAGTTGTTTGATTCTGTTTGCTCTCTAAAATAAGTTGTTTGATTTGATTATATGTTGTTTGATTGTGTACAAGAGCTGTTGTTTGAAAAAGAATCTGCCACTACCAAGGACATTTGGATTTTTGTTTTTGCTTGTTGTTGCTGCCAATATCAAGAGACCAATGCATATTTCCTTTAATGCTATTTGAATATTTCTTTTTGCTTGCTGTTACTATTGCTGCCAATATCAGGAGACCAATTTCAGGAGACTAATGCTGCTTAAGTTCGTCATTTTTTTGTTTATTAACTGACTAACCAATGCATATTTCTTTTAGTTGTCTCTTTTTGTTGACTTGGTGCCACTACCAAAGACATTTGCATTAAAAAAGATATGTGTTGGATGCAACTTCATATAATCAATTTTAGAAGATGTATTTGAATGCATGATGATTTGATGTTCAAATAATTTAGTATTCGAAACCGTTGTCACATTCCCGCCCGGACTCGACTCTGTCATAGTACGATATTGTCCGATTTGGGCTCCAGCCACGCCCTCACGGTTTTATTTCTGGGAACTCACTCGAGAACTTCCTAGTGGGTCACCTATCCTGGGATTGCTCTCACGCGAACTCGCTTAACTTCGAAGTTTCGATGGAACCCGAAGCCAGTGAGCTCCCAAAATGCCTCGTGCTAGGTAGAGATGGGAATATACATATAAGGCTTACAAGATCCACTCCCCTGAGCGATGTGGGATGTGACAACCGTAAACTGGCAAGAACCAAATCAAAACCAGTGTAGACCGAACCGTACTGTTCTTGTAATAAATTTAAGTGGAACCACATCGAACTGAACCATTGATATTTTTCAGTTACGGTTCCAATTTAGGGGTGGAAACGCACCGTGCCCACCCCTAGACTGATGGGCTACCCAGTTTTCTAAGGCACTTTCACCCCTAGCCATCTCAAATTTTAATTTCTAAACTCATCTCAACTTACTCCAACCATTGGGGCAAATATGAGTTAAAACGTAAAACTCATTTATGTGGCAAATTTAGCCTAAGATTCCCCCTAGGTTAGTAGGGTTGGCCCACCATATGTGTAATTTTTTTATTGTATCCAATGGCTAAGATCTAATTTAATCAAATTCAAAGGTAAAAAAACTCTAACGGTCCAAATTTAAATCCAATGGCTAAATTAATTAAAAAAATATTTTATGTGTTTCATATTCTTTCATGTTCCATGACACCCCGATCCGGAGGATCCAGGTGTGCTGGCCGTCACGTGGGCGTGACGTAACCATAAGCACAACACGAAAGCGGAAAAGCAACATAAATCAACAGAATTTCAAACCAAATTCAACATAACCACATACGGACATAACCGGACGAGTTTACAAGTAAACACATAAGTTCAGAGCATAGGTTATCTGCAGTCAAGTAGGACTAAAATAAGAATACATCACCCTCAGGTGAGTCCTACATGTCCCAAATCTGTCAGAAAGCCGGAAAGGACCTCGTGAGCCAACCACCGCTAAACTAGAACCTGGAGGGGCGCAAAACAAAATGAGTGGGTCAGTAAAACAAATTAGTTTTCCAAAACAGTTCATAAAACAATTATATCCCCTCGCCGTAAAAACCTGTATACTTTCCCAGAAATATATATAACCATATAAAATCTCAAAACTTAAGTCTCAAATCTTTAACATTTTCAAGAAAACATGCCATGACATAAATCAAAATATAAATCAGGTGAAATAAGGAATCAATCGGAGACCCTGCAGTTGGTCCTATATACGATTAATTCAATAGCTCAAATCCCACTAAGCCGGAGTCACCACAGTGACCTATACGGCCCTACTCTGCACATCACTCGGAACTACGTAAGGTAGTCTATACGATGAAAGGTGTAAAAATACGCTCTAGTGCTTCTCTCATCATATCATCAGCGCGCATAACTAAGGTCACCCACTAGTCGGAATCACGCCTAGTGATCTGTACGACTAGCATGTCGGAACCCTCACATGGTCTGTACGACATCCACCTACTTGGATCCAAGGCGAGCGTGCGGTGTGGTGAATAAAATAAGCACTAACACCTAGGGTGCAGATTATGAGCTCAACACATCTCAACAACAACAATTCAATGAATAAATGAACTCACCTGACTTACCTGTGCCTCCACAGCACCATGCAACATGTATGCATCATATATCAATCATATAACTCATGTGAAATTCACCTTTTTCCAAATAATTCTATGCATGGCATTTTAAAAAACGTATTTTCATATAAACATTTTTCTGGGAAAAACAGTAGTATATAGGTAATACGAAAACAAAACTGCCCACTCACTGATAAGTCGACGGGTCGTAACCCCCGTGGCGTCCCTGGATGCGGTCGTCCTCGGGATACGTCTCACCTATATGCGAAACAACTATAAAAACATTAATTTTAAGCATATCACCAATAATTCGAAATAACTTCTCATACGATGCTCAATTTTGGTATATGAATATACCACATCGACCTACTCGACGTCACGAGCGTCGAGAAATTTTTAGAAAAATTTTTGGAAGCCCCACGCGCCCCCACGCGCCACACGTGGCACGGGTCCACGCGCTGGCCACGCGCAGCACGTGCAGCGCACGTGTCGTCTTCTTCGCAGGTCTCGCCGGACTGGTTCTCCGGTGGCCGGACTCCGGCCGAACTCCGGCCGATTTTCAAACTCACTATTCTCCTTCGTTTTTCACCCATTTTCTTCGTATTTTATACCGAATTGAAGCCCTAAGAGTGTACAATCACGTTGGACTAGTTTTAGGGCCTAAAAACTACGAAATCTCACCTTGCAAAAACCAAAGATTCGGCCAAACTTGAAACCTACGATCCCGACGTCCAAAACTCTCCAACGAACGTCCCCGAGCTTCCTTAGAACCTCCTAAAGCTCACTACAAGCTTGAAATCTCCTGAAACACAACATTTTACGTTCGCATGAACAGTACCTCAAAAATGGAGGTTCGGGATCTAAGTGAAATCGAAGGTTTCACTTCCTAAAACTAGTACCAATGAACTCAGGACGACGAAAGGATGAAGATGCATACCTTATTTGCCTCGATCCGTCGAGTTTTGAAGGGTTTTGGTGGTGGTCCGTACGATATGGGTGTGTTTGGGTGTGAGGTCGAGAGAGAGAGAGAGACTGAGAGAGTGATCGAGAGGGAGGAGAGAAAGGGACTGATCTTGTGTGGTCAAACCAATCCACACCATCCAAAATCTCTCTTAAGTCCCTAACCACAAAAATATAAAATCAACTTCCAAAATATTTCTAACTTAAACAACTTCTTAAAAGTTTAGGGACCAAACATTTTCAAAACGTAATACACCCATACCTTGATACCTGACAAGGGCATTTTTGTCCTTTCACATTCCCGCCAAAAGTACCTCCGGGACGGGCTGTGACAATCTCCCCTCCTTATAGAATTTCGTCCCCGAAATTCCCATAACCAAATCATAATTCAATACTCGTAGAATAATCTTGGGTACATCTCTCTCATCCGGTCTTCCGTCTCCCAAGTAGCTTCCTCCACAGAATGATTTCTCCACAACACCTTCACCAAACTCACCGTCTTGTTCCTTAGAACCTTGTCCTTCCAATCCAATATTGTGATTGGTTCCTCATCATAAGTCAAATCCGGATTAATCTCTAACGGTTGATGAGGGATCACATGAGAAGGATCAGAAATATAATGCCGAAGCATAGAGACATGGAACACATTATGGACCTTAGATAACTCCGGAGGCAGTTCCAACCGGTAGGCAACTTCACCAACTCTTTCAGTGATCACATAAGGTCCAATATATCTCGGACTTAGCTTTCCTCTTTTCCCAAATCGTACCACACCTCTCCAAGGCGACAATTTCAAGAATACCCAATCACCCACATCATACACTCGATCAGTAGTATGCCGATCCGCTAAACTCTTATGTCGATCCTGGGCTGCTTTCAGGTTTGATTTAATTACCTGAACATTTTGAGTCGTCTCATCCACGATCTCAGGGCCTTCTAATACCCGTTCACCAACCTCAGACCAACACAATGGCGTTCGACACGCCCTACCATAAAGTGCCTCGAATGGGGACATACCAATGCTCGAGTGAAAAACTGTTATTATAAGCAAACTCCATTAAGTCCAGACGATCATGCCAAGAATCACCAAATTGTAATACCGAAGATCTCAACATATCTTCCAACGTCTGAATGGTCCTCTCTGATTGCCCATCAGTTTGAGGATGATAAGCTGTGCTATACAGTAATTGAGTACCCAGAGCTTCCTGAA